ATTTTAATTGTATACAAAAATGTTGTAAGATCCATGAATGTAAGAATGTTAGACTATAAATATTTGTATAAGCTGCTGTTCCGTATATGGAATAGGTTTTTATTTACTGTATACAAATTGCATTAAAAATTTTTAATTTGCATTATTTGTATTAAACCAAATTGTAATGATGAGGAAAAATACATTTATTGTTTTTCGAAATGTATTTAGAATTAAGAAATTCACAATAAAGAATATATTAAGTATCAAAACATTGTAGAATTTTGATTGATTGATGCTGCTATAAAAATTGGGTTAAGAAAAACTGTTGTTTAGATGTTAATCTAAATTATACTTATTTAGTGGAAAAACTGATAAAACTTCTATTTAGCTATTGAATCATGAAATTCAGAAAAATATTTTAAAAGCAATTTATTCCTTTGTAAATATTTCATTTGGGAAATGACTGAATATTTCATTTTAATTCAAGCTGATGTGAAATTTCACCCATTAAATAGTATTGAAAAAAATAAAAATGGATATTCTTTCAAAAAAGAAAAAGCTCTATTTTGATTTTGGTTTTTCATAAAAATTAAAATTATATTTCAGCAAGCAAACCCAATTTGTCCTTAACTACAAGAACATAACCAAGTATGCAGTAATGTAACAAGTACAAGGTTCCAGAACGAGTCAAAACTAAAATTTAATTGCAAGGTGTTAAATGCAAATATGCTATCATCAAGTATGATCTGGGGTCATGATGGTTATGTAAGAGAGAGGAGAAAAAAACTGTAGTAGTCAAAACAAACACAACGCAAAGAGGAATGATGTAATGGAAGAGATAGAACTCTGACACAGGTGCTCGTAAATAGTCAATTTGGGTTAAAAATTTGGAGAAGGGGAAAAATTTGATGGTTAGAAAAACATCATGTGCAATCATTAAAATCCTAAAATGACAGAAAATAGAAACAACAGGCTAAATTAATGGGTGCACGACTTATAGTTCTATCAACAATCTCCAGTCAAATTCACAAAGAAGTATCAGACAGACATCTCAAAACAGACCTTTCTCGTTACCCAATCAGGTTTCAGGGATCACTTAGAGACAAATGAGAAACTGGGAAGCGAGGAATGGAATGTGGGGCATCAGAAATATTGATGAAAAAGAAAAAAACTATATAAACCAAAAACTCAAGGTTGAAAGGGCCATATCCCTCTAAAAAAAGGGTCGTGTGTCACAAGAAGTTGTGCTGTGTTGTGTGACTCAGCAGCCACTTCGGATGCCAAACACCTTCGCTTATAATCTGCAGCAAAATGAACAAACCTTTCTCGTCCATGCCAGGGTTATGACCGACTGACCAAAACTCTCGCAAGTCCGAAGGCTCACCGATCAGCGCCAGGACAAATTTGTCAATGAGTTACCGTCATCAATCCAACTCATTACCTATGTAAGGATATTTCCATTACAATAATTGGTTTTCTTTGTAACACACTTGTCATCTCTGTCTCTGCCACCACCACCCAGACGTGGATGACCTTAGCCTTCCTGACACAGGAATAACTGATTTTCCCCTGAAAGTCGAGAAACTTACACAAATGACTGACCATAAACTAATTCTGAAATATTAACTGTAAATAACATTTTCTGATGTCGAACAACTTTTATATTGATGTAATAATTACCATAATTTCCTAAATATAACCTGAAATAATGCCAGAACATAGCCTTCACCTGCTTTCAAACTGATTTTACAATGCGAATAACCTATAAGCTACACTCAGAAAATTACAGTATTTAATTTCTAGTTTACCTAATTGAAACTTGAATGCTTGAAGAGTGTGACAACTAAAAATTTATATGTAAATATGTAATTATAAAAACATTATAATTATAAGTTGAAAGGTTTTGTCTAGAAATGCCTGATTCAAACATGTATTCAATTTTGAGAATTCAGTTTGAATATTCTATAATTTGTCTTCTTTTTCATTCAGTGATGCAAATTTATCTATTATAACTTAATTCTTTTTATGCCTCTACAAGAACTTGTGTATCTCAAACTTTACATAACATATTGAAGATACAATCCTTGACTTTTAATAAAGAGCATGAAAAATTTATCAACAAACTTGAATAGAAAATTTATAAGTCAAAACTTTCATAATAAAATATCTTATTAAATTACCTTGCAACATCCTGTATAAGAATAGTTAAATACCAGTAAGAATGATGATTATTTTGATGGCTGATATATGAGAACTATTCTGAAAGTGATGCCTTTCAGAATAGTTCTCATGTTTCACATTTTTTCTAAAACTATTAATGCAAACGTGGTGCCTTACACTACCAGAGAGTAACTCTTTCTGCATGACTGACAATTTTTTAATTCTAGGTTTTGTTAAACCATGGATACGAACCAGAAACAAAGAATATTAAATTCCTGACCAAAGAAGGGTGTACTGCTGCCAACATCCACAAAAGGCTCAAAAATGTGTATGGTGAGGCAACAATTAATGTGAGTAATGTGCAAAGATGGGTAAAAGCGTTTAAAAAAGTGAAACAAGTGTGAAAGGCAAACTACACAGTGAAAAGTCAATGACAAGCAGTTAGTGATGGAAACCAAATTGAGGTGGGTGATATGAATTGCACAGACCAGTGTATCACTGTCCAAGAGACTTCTGAGGTCTTGGTTATGGTCAGAATACTATCCAGTAGATTATTCACAACCTGGGATACCAGAAAGTATGTGCTAAATGGGTTCCTCATCAATCAAGCTAATTCAAAAGAAGAGAGATTGCATATTTATTTGAATCTGTTGGCAAAAAAACAAGGGCATCTTTTTTTGGAAATATTTATATTGGTAATGAGACCTGGGCAAAGAGCATCAAATGTCCCTTCATGACCAAGAGACAAAGAATCAGTCAATGTAATGGAAACACTTCAGCTTCCTAGACTAAAAAAATTCAAAGTATACAATTCAAGGTTATTGTAAATTGTATACTTTGAAGACACTATCATTCCTTGACACAATAGTGTCAAGGAATGATAATGTCTTCAAGACACAATAGTGTCTTTTAGGTTGGAAATGATTTTGCTCTATTTCATTAAACATGGGACAATAATAAACAACAATTGCTACATTTCATCTCTCTGGAAACTTCAAGAAACCATCTGTAAGAAAAGACCATAGAGATAGCCAAATGTAATCCAGTTACACCATAATATTGCATAATTCCACACATTTTAGAAACATCACAAGTTCTTACACAAATGAGATATGAATTATTATTTTGTCACATCAGATCTTTATCAGATAAAAGTTTAACATCACTGTCTTTACATCATTAATAAAGTTTTGCTGAGTACTCCAATTAAAACATATTAACGTTAATGTTAAATATCAATGTTATAGAATTTGTTTTCATTTCACCCCAAGAAGACATTCTATACATGTCAAAAGTGCTTGTGAGATATTCTGTGTTTATTTTTGTGCTTTACTCATTAAAACTTTATTAATGCTGAAAGACAGTGATCTTAAACTTTTATCAAATGAGATGGTCAGCAATGCCACATCCTCCTTACAGCTCAATCTTACACACTACGATTTCCACTTCTTCAGTCAAATAAATGAAAGCCTTTGCAGATAGCACTTTGCAGATATGAGCAAAGTGCAAAATACTGTCAGATGCTGGGAGAGGAAGTGCCCCAAAGACTTTCTCCAAAGTGGCTTTGACAAGTAGGTTTAAAGCAGTGTTTTTCAACCTGTGGGTCGCAACCCCCAAAGGGGTCGCAAAGCCTTACACAGGGGGTCGCGGGTAAAAAAAAGACAAGTGTTTGTAGGTTCTACACTACAATAAAAAAAACTATAATTTCATTGAGAAGGCTATGCCTGTTTATTTTAAAGTACAATTGGTTTTTCGATCGATATTTAGGTCTCAACAGAAAGAAAATTAAATACGTAGTTTTTACCATCACTGACATAGTTTTAATATTGCCCTCGGGGTCGCCAGAATTTTTTTAACTTGTAAAGAGTCGCGTATTCAAGAAGGTTGAAAAACACTGGTTTAAAGGCATTGCCATTAGTGGACACTATTTTGAATAATATCACATTCTAGACAGAGTTACTCTACATATGTAGTTACATGTCTCATGTTAATAAAGGAATTATAACCTGACAGGCATTACTTTCAATACAATCTATGTAATATGGTTTGAATGGCAAAATTAAAACAGTAGTTGTCAATTAAAAATTTAATTTTTCTTACTAAACCAACTTGATAACATTTTTTAACATACAAAACAACTATATTCACCAAAAAACTTCTTTTCCTCAAAAAATTAGTTTGGAGTAAATAACCATTTTTTAATGCATGTGTAATTTTAATAAATATTTTTAAAATTCATTACTAATTTTAAGTTAAATTGATTTTTAACTTCACAAGTTACATATGACAAAGTAGCATCTAATACCATTAAATTTTTAGATATATATTTTTTTATCTTATCAAATGTCTATTTCATGTCATTATTTGATTATTAAGTATTACTTACTTTTTGTATTAATGTCTATGCATACACTTTAAAACATCAAAATTCTTGTGACAAACAGCTCTTAAAATAAAAATGTTGCTTGTACTAAAAGTGTTTTAATTTTATTCTATATATAATAAGTCTTCAAACAAATGTTCTACTCTATTCATCAGAAAAAGTTAATTTGAATTATCAAAAGTACTTGTGAATTTTGTCAACTTTGCTATACTACTGTATCTATTTCCACTTGCTATTAAAATATAAATTAATTAATTAAAATATATTAATATTTTNGAAAATGACATATATATTTCTAATTATGAACAATAATTTAACATAAAAAAAGACTTATTTTTTATTTATTTACTGTATTTTTGCTCAAAAATCCATAAATAAATAATGAACTGAACTAAATTTTAAATTTATACCTATTTAGATTATTATGTTTTACTATTTGTAATTGTTATAAAAATTAAATAAACATATTATTTACCTTCAGTTCCATCCATTCCCTCAAATCTTGTAGATTTTTTGCCAGCAAATGGATGGTTTTCATATGCTTTATCAAAGCAAGAAAAAAATCGTTGCAATAATGTAGATAAATGTTTCCGAGTCATTTCAAATCCAATTCTTAAACTGATCAGATAAATGGTATCAATAAGCTTCCAAGCAATGACAGAACGAGAATGCTTTCCATGAGGAAATGTTTGTCGAAATGATGAAATAAGCCGAACAATAGGATACAAAATTCCTTTTATAAGTAAATCCTAAAATAATATTAAAAGCATTAAATTAAAAAATACATTTATTATTATAAAATTAAAATGACATTAAAAACAAACAAATAAAATAATATAATACATTACAAGAAATAAAATATTTTATATAAAATGAACATAATAAAAACATTATATGAAAACATTTTTGAGCAAATTTTCATCTATTTATCAGACTATTAATATAAAACATAGAATTTAAAATATACTCTGTTGCAAGATGTAATTTGAAGGGGGATGAGATACATTTTACCTTTCTACCCTTCATATCCTAGGATGTGCAGAAAGAGAAGTATCCCAACCAGGGATAGTTTCTTTCCTCCCCTCTTACTAGACTCATGGATGTTGAAAATTTTACAATTTTGTAAACCTACAAGTTTGATTTTACACAAAATACAAAGTTAATTTATAAGTGTAACTATGTAATCTTCATTTGTGATGTTGAATTGTCTGAATTTTTTCCAACAGACACAGATAGATACATATGATCAGCACTCAGCAGCCCTTCTGATTTGCTTTTTAATAACATTCTTTTCTTTCATTTTGTTTGCTTACCTACTGCTATCAGTACTGTTAGACAGCAATGTTTAGGAGTGCTTAAGATAAACATATCTGCCTACATTTATAATAAACAAACCTAGATGATTTCTTCCTCTCCTACAAATTTGCTGGAAAATTGCTTAATGGTGTCCTTTTGGTATTTAATGCATGTTTTAAAGTGATTCAAAAATTTGTTACAATATATGTAAGCTATCTATAATTCTTTCCCCACTGCAGTAGTATTACTTCATGATCTTTGTACCATCACCCCTAAAAGTAAAATGAAATACTATTGTAAGCCTAATATATGTAAACCAAGTGACCATTCCCTTTTTTTTACTCTTTCCATTCTATAGATACTAAGAGAAACTTTTATGAAGCTCATTGTGTGTTTGGTCAGGCCCACAATGGGCAGCTAGGTGAATGAGAAGAGAGATAGGGCCTGACATTTCCAGGAGAGACCACTCCCTGAAAAATCTCAACCTGTCCAGATTCAATCCTGGGTCTTCTAGAGCAGTAGGCTGACATCTTGGCCTCCTTGGCCATCCAGTCATCTCCTTTTCTACAAATTTTACAAATTACATACTGCTCTGTTGCAAAAATCCAACACCTGTTATAGCAGTGTATAATAGAAATCACATTGAAAGTATTGATAACAGTTGAACCACACAGACTAAAAATTAGCATTAAATCCATTCAGAAAGTATAGTGGAATGGAGTGTGTGGACATGTGGGGAGTAGGGATAATGGTAAAAAAATTAAAAGATGCCATTTCTGCAATTCCAGAAGTTAGTCAGCAGGTCACATGCAAGATTTTGGAAAATTGAAGACCCAGATTGATTTTGTTAAACATACCTGACTCAGTTGAAGACGATAACTTAATTGACATGCTTATGAGCAAAATGAATGCTGCAGTCCTATAAAAAAGGAATAGTTCATGGTAAATTGTAAAATTAATTCCACATTTAACAGAGGACACACAAAAAAATTATAGACATGTAATAATATCTGTTTCACCAAAAATAAGAAGTCTGCTCATTTCACAGAAGTATGTGTCCATTTCCTGGGCCAACATAAAAATAGATGACTTTATCTTGGTAGCCCATTGTTACCATTGCTGTAGGTATGGACATTTTGCAAAATATTGTGAGGAAGGACAAAACTGTTCACACTGTTCCAAAAGACATCGATTTCATGAATGTGAAAAGAAAGATCATCCCCAACATGTATCAACTGTAGGAAAACAAACAGAGAACTTCCAAAAAATAAGAGATACTGATGAACACAGTGCATTTAGCTACAAATGCTCAGTAACACAAAAAATGAAGATGCAAGCTATCAAAAAACAAGCTATGGAGTATAAAGCAATCACATCTCATACACAGAAAAAGTAATCAAGACAACCTGCAAACCAATCAAACAAAGGAACAGATAACAGACTATAATTCACAAGATGTTACACAAAACAAGATGCCAGACATTGACCCTGCAACAGCAAAAATAAAGAAAAAGGTACTCTAAGAATACTCCAGATTAATATACAGAGAAGCAAAGCCACCATCTTACTCACAATAAAATCAGCAAATGACCTTAAAGTTGACATTATTTTAATTCAGGAACCATATATCCTGGGAAAAGATTGTTAAATATGGAAGCTGGCAGGTTACATTCAAAAAAAAAAAACAAATGAAAAACCAAAGAGTGAAATAGTAGTATGTAACTCAAGAGCTTTGATACCAAAACTGTCTACAATTGCAGTGGTAAATTTTAAACCACCAATATTCATAGTTAATGCTTATCTTCCACTGGGCAGGAATGACAAAAAAAATGCATAGAGGAACTATAAGAAACACTTAGAAAGCTCAACAACAAAAATATCATTTTGGCAGGGGACCTCAATGCAAAGTCAATGATATGGTACCACCAACTGGAAGACTACAGAGGCAAACTAATTGCAAACTTGATGGACCAATTTGGACTGATATCAACAAACGTGACAACATTCCATACCCTGTACACAGAGGAATGGACTGATGTGTCTTATCTCAGGAGACCTGGCATAGCAAGTTAGCAGATGTGAAATCAAATCTAGCAGATGTCATGAACAACAAAAAACTTTGGGCATGCCTTTGTACTTATATACATCAAACTAGGGCAGACCCACAGAGGAAACTAACAATCAAACTCATTAATATGCAAATTGGGACAGTGACATCATTGAAGATGAGGAAAGTTATGAAGATAGCAAAGGCAGCTAGAGCTGGATCCTTCCAATCAAGAAACTACTTAGTGCACTTAGGACAATGACAATTCAAATTTCTTTGAGAATAACATCGAAGATTCTTCAAAAACTTTTCTGTTATTTTTTATCACAACTGCTGCAATCGAGGGAAAACATGTAAAATTTGTAAAGTTAATCTCATTTTTGCTGTAAACCCTTAAGTCAAAGGGTAAAATACTTTGTTTTCATTTGCTTGGTTCACTCCTTGAGGGAAAGGGGAACAATTTGTGAAAGATGCAGGCAGGGCCTGCCCGTTCGTATAGGCAAACTAGGTGATGGCCTAGGGTGCTTGAATTCGGGGGGGCGGCATGGCAAAAGTACATGCATAAATTACAATAAGTAATGAAAAAATAAATGTTTTTTGATCACAATCCTTTCTCATGTGTTGACCCAAGAGTCGCCATTTTGAAAGTGGAGCCGTAGTCTCACGATCATGATTTAATATGATTAACGGTCTTCAAAATAATAATAAATTAGGCCTATTATTTAAGAATAACAAAACATATCAAATACAATTAAAACATTTTATTTCACATCTTTTCATAAAAATTACTAAATATTTATTCTTTAATACGAGTTGATTTTTTGCGGATTTACCGCGGACTTATAGATATCGTACCCAATTTAGTAACTGCGTTAAGGGTGTTGCTAACACTTCCTGTGTCTGTGGCCAGTGGCGAGTGCAGTTTTTCCAAATTAAAACTTATTAAAACTTGTGGGGTTGTCAACTTTGTTGATAGAATGGGAAATAGATGAAACAATTGATTTAAAGGAGATCATTTCCACTTTTGCAAAAACTAAGGCAAGGATAATGAAATTTATGTAATTCTAATATACCAATATGCTTCATATAAATAAAGCTTATAATAATATACTCGTATGTTTCATTTTCCATTGATTTATTGTACATGATTGTAAACTAGTAATTGAAACCTTTTAAGAGAGAAATTGCAAAAACAATGGAAAAATAATATTGTTTTACAAAAAAAGTGTAACGATGTATCGTTAGTGACAGCAGATTTTTTTTATGAGAAAATATATTTATATAGGTACTATGTTGTTTTATTACATATTTGAATAAAAATTAATACTCTATTTTACATTGGTGTTTTATATTGTTGCAAATTTTTTTAAATGGGACGACTTCAAAGTCATTTGCCTAGGGTGCTGAGTTTGCTCGGGCTGGCACTGGATGCAGGATAAATGTTTATATTGTAAATATTGTAAAAAATTTTCTTTGCTGAGTACCCTTGAGTTTAAGGGAAAAATTCTTGTTTTCTTATCTAGATATGATGTGACACAAGTTAATAATGTTGTTTTCTCTGTTTTCATTGTAAATCCTTAAGTTTAAGGGTACAAAAATTCCTTGTTGTTTTGTTTGTAGACAAAAGAACAAGGTATTGTTCTTTTGATGTGTGGCAACATGTAAACATTGTACATATTGTTAATATTCTCTTTTCTGTGCTGTAAACTCTTTAGTATAAGGGTAAAAATATTTTTGCTAGAATTTGATACTGTTCAGTAGGAGAACATGTTAATTTGTAAATATTAATACAGTTTTCTTTTCTCTTTTCGTTCTGTAAACCCTTAGTTTAAGGATTCAACATCTCTGTTTTTCTTTGGTTTTGTTTGGTTTTCAACCCCCAAAGAAGGGAAACATCATGTATTTTATGTACTCTGTTTTGTTTAAATAATTTGATTGAGGCACCAAGGGTCCCATGCTCTTCCTTCATCCTCTTCTCATTCTTTTCTTCTCTTCACTCTCTCTCTCTCTCCCCCCTCTTCTCCATCTCAACTAGGGCTACGCTAATTCTACATATTATAGACAGCTCTCTAATCTTTAACTTAAATAAATAAATAAATAGTACTCAAGTTCTTTATGTGGAATGATAGTGATTCAAAAACATCACATTAATGGTAACATAAATTCCAGTTTAATAATGATTTTAATACAAATTATCAATTCTTAGCAACAATTCTGTATCATTACATTAAAGATTCTATTGTTTTTAAGGAACTGGTTACCTATAATTGTAAAAAATTAAAGGAAAGAAACTTATATCTTGTTTAAACTAAGGAATCTTATTAAATAAGACATTACACTGAATATTTCTTCTGTTAACATTGCATCACTTAAAGAAATGAATCTATTTAAAATTTTAATATATGGACTGCTTTGTTTATAATTATTTGACTTAGAAAGTATTCTTAAATTTAATAATGTAATATTAATTAAAGCTTTCAAATTTTAAATTGTTTTTTAACTTCTAATAATTTTTTTTAATCTTCCAAAAATAATTTAAGCATTTTGATAATTTTTTAAATAAACTGTGATTAGAAAAAATAAAAATTATATGTAGTTTTTTAAAACTATTATATATCAAAAAAATTGATTACCGTGTTTGTGAACAACTAAATAAAATTTTAAAATCTCTTATTAGAAAATCAATCACCTCCATTAACAATTAAAATATTAATAGTTGTACAAATTTTATTTATGGAATAAAAATAAATATATAAACAATAAGCTACTGTTATTTAAAACTTCAACAACTTAATTATTTTGAAATGTTTAATAGGATAAATCTGTTGTAACAGATTCTTCAAATGTAGAATAAATTATTTTCATTTCTGTATTTCTGTATTCATAAAAACTAGGAAAACTAACATTGATACGGTATATATTACCTGAAGATTATCCATTAAAGTTGCATCNTCACGGGAAATTTGTTGAAAAAATGGCAGATACATTTAAAATTGAGGTTTACAAGCGAAGGTAAATAAACAAATTAAACTATTTTAAAGTATTTATAGAATGTTTAATAGATAGAAATATAGATCCGTATGATGCGATTGGGACGGTAAGATTTACCCTCCGAATGAAGGGGGTGGCGACCCCCCCTTTGTGTGAACAATAAATGTCTAATAAACCATGCCCCTACGCGCGACCCTTCCCGAGATATAGCCCTCTGAAAATTATTCTACGGATCATGTGACCGCCTGTTTGCCACAATTTACCCTGCGAATGAGCGGATCGGCGACAGGACAAGCGCGCGTAAATTTTTTTTTTCGCGCGGTAGGCTCCCTTTTGACCACAATGTCACGTGACTGGAAATGACGTAAGCGAATTTTCACGGGCTTATATCTTGCGAAGGGTTAATCTTGCGAGTAGAGGTATAATTCCTTTGACTTTATTGTTCGCACAGGGGGGCTACAGTTTGGAGGGTTGCCACCCCTTCATTCGGAGGGTAAATCTTACCATTGGGACTTTAATGGAACTGTACAGCATATTGATAAAAACAAAAAAGTCAAAGGAACTGTGCCTCATGAAAATTTGTAAATAACACCCACTAGGGGTGTCCCGGGCTACTAGTTATGTATAAATTAGAGATGCCACAAATAGTGATTTTGCCGAATACTGAATATTCAGCTACGCTCTTGGCCGAAGTGCAAAATACGGCAATGAGACAGGTCGCAACTTGTCACCTACGAAATGTGCAATGAGACAACCCAACCAAATTGCGACCTGTCTCATTGCAGTGGGTGTGGTAGCGACGCCGCAGGCGCACTTGTTTCATTTTCGAGTAGATCGTGTCACAACATGCATTATTTGTTCATTGTTACATCAAATTGTGTTACTAATAGTCCTTATTACTAAAACATATGACTGTTTGTTCGTCAAAAGCTTTACAAAATGGCACCATTTAATAAGAAATTGCCTATTTGAGAATATTATGAGATTTGTAGTGAAGATAATAAACTGGCTGTGTGTTTGCTGTGTAACAACAAGATCTCATGTGTTGGAGAAGGAAAGGAAGCAAATAAAATCTTATTGAGTATTAATTAAATGAAACAATTTTAGTCATATTTAGTATTTAGCACTTGTAATTTTTATTTCTTGTTTTTTTTTTGCCTGATATTTTATTTCACACATAGTATTTCGTTGATAAACTTGATATAAATAAGTCCTATTTTTAAATATACATTTTATTTATTATCTTTGAAATTCAGAGGGTTAAGTGAAGCCAGATTAATACAAGTTTAAGCTAATACTTTTCAGGAATTCTCTTCTTTCATGTCAGGTTTTTCATTGTTTAATTACTGTGTTCATTTTTTTTCTTTTTTGTTTACAGCTACAACTTCTTTGAAAAACCACCTTAAAAGCAAACATGCTGAGCAGCACACTATGTTAATTGTTGTTCCCTCGGCAAGTGGCAGCAAAAATGATGTACTCTTATTTCTACCGATTCCAAGATACCAGCAGTACCAGGTACATCATAAAAGAAACAGTTAACTCTGAAGGAAACAACTGAAAGGAAATTGTTATGGGATATTAATGATCCAAAATCAATAAAATATTATTTAATCAGTGAAATGATTGCCTTAGACAACAAACCATTATCACTTGTTGAGCGAGTTGTCTTTAAAAGACTTATGAAAAAGGCAGTACCTCAATACAAAATACCTGGTCACACTTACATGACCGAGAAAATTATTCCTGATATATATAATAGAAATTGCTCTAAAATTGAAGCTAGTATTTTGCAAGCAACAGCAGTATCAGTGACATCTGGTATGTGGACATGTCAGCACAATAACCAGCATTTCTTGAGTTTCACTGTGCATTGGATATCTCCAGAGTTTATTCTTGAACATGGCATTTTAGCGATGAAGCTGTTTGCTGGCTCACATACTGGTACCAATATTGCAAAAGAACTCAATGCTATTGCAGAAAGATGGAATATTTCTTATAGCAAGATCCATTTACTTGTCCATGACAATGGAGCCAATATGATAAAAGGTGTACGAGACACAGAATATGATTCTGCCGATTGTTTTATTCATTCACTGCAACAAGCTGTCGTGGAGTCGCCAAAGTCTTAAACAGAAATAACACAGATGGTAGTTGCTGCATGACAAATTGTTATCCATTTTAATCACTCTGGTATAGCACAAGAAAAGCTGAAATGCATTTGCCCAGAACTTAACTTGCCAAACCATCAACTAGTACGAGATGTAAGCACATGCTGGAATTCTACATATTATTTAATGGAGTGATTATTAGAACAAAAGTGAGCTGTTTCTTTGTACATAAACAATATAAATTTAAACAAAATAACACCTTCTTAGTGGGAGCTAATGAACATGTATCAAATTCCTCAAACCATTCAAAGAGATTACGAAAATAACTAGCTCTGGTATTTCCTGGATCTCTGAAGTGATTCCACATGTTGTCACATTGTTGAAATACCTAGGGAAGGAAGAGACTGCAGATAGAATACCAAATTTATTGAAAATGAGATCTTCACTACAAGTTGAGCTTGAAACATTTCTTTGCCACTTTTCTTGACCCGCATTTCAAAACCAGTTTCCTGGGATTAGTTCAAATGCAAAGAGCAAAAAAAATTCTTTTAGAAGCTCTGAAAATTAGTTGTGATGAGTCTACTAGTACTGATGATGATTCTTCTCCACTTCATAAGAAAAGAAATATCAATGAAAATGATAAAACCATTGAAATACATGACAGTTTCTAGAACTGTTTTGAGGAAGTCGCTACAGAAAATATGCAAAATGATGAGGATGTGGAGAAGGAAAGTGATATTGGAAATGAGATTGATTTTTATATGAAAACTGTTTGCCTAGATTGAACGGCAGACATTTACAAGTGGTGATCAGCAAATGCAAAACAGTATCCAAGCCTGACAGAATTCGCTAAGATAAATCTTAGCGAATTCTGATTTATCTATTGTCTCCCGGCAGTAGCGTATATAGTGAGAGGCTATTTTAAGAAGCAGGTATAGTTTATGAGGAAAAGTGCAATCATTTGCTATCAACAAATGCTAAAAAAATTGTTTTCATTCATCACAACTTACCACTGATAGATTTTAAGTATTAATTGTAATAATTTGTGATTAAAATAAATAAATTTTTGAGTAATATGTGCGTTTTTTTTTAATGATTTGGTATTCGGTATTCGGCCAAATCGTATGCAACATTCGGCCAAATACCGAATATTACGAAAAGTAGCCGAACAGGCCAAATACCAAATAGTAGCTGAATATTTCTGGCATCACTAGTATAAATCATACAATATAAGACATACATTGACTATAATTATAATTACAATATTACCTTTACCTCAAATTTTATCAGATATGTAATTTTTATTTTTATTTACAGAATTAGTTTGTTAAACATCATTAGAATATCATTTTGTAATTCTAATTTATAAAATCAACTTTTCTTCTGAACAAGCAATGAATTGCAATTTTTTTATTGATAAAAATAATTAATTCGGTTAAAACAATTTATAGTTAGAAATTAAAATATATTAATGCTTTTTCCTTTGTGCTTTCTACTTTGAATAAATTCTATACATTTTTAAAAGTTAATGAAATTTATATAAAATTTTTCTAAATATAATTCTACAAAGTTGGCAAAATAAAGCAAGCTTTTTTTAAAAAACAACCTTTTAAATATAAAACAAATATTAAAATTCGTTCACGTACCAATTCTGAAACATGTGGTAAATATTGTAGTAAAATAAATTGCTCTCCATATAAAGCAGCAATACTTGAGAGACTTTCTAAGACTTTGGATGCATTTTCATCACCAGCAACCCATCTTTGACTTATACTTATATTTTCACCTACAAATGTTCCAAATTTAATTAATACATTTGACTAATTTTATATCTATAATTTATGAGATTTAAAATTACATTTGGTAATTAGATACATTAAAAAATATCAAGCTTATAAAAATAAATTATTTTTCATATAAAAATGATCTGATTTAATTTAATTTACTGTATATTTGAATATATAATAAGTTAAAATACACTGAGTGGCCAAAAAATTAAAGACACTTCTTATTTGAAAGTAAACCAGTCCAACGGTGACATAGAGTGACATAACAATGCAGAGTTGCTTATATAAGGAATGCTCAGCTATAGATGATGTAGTTATCATGGAAGTTAATGTCAAAATGGGTAAAACAAAAGATTTAAGTGACTTTGAACGAGGATGATCATCGGTGGAAGAAGAGCTGATGCCAGCATCTCTGGAATGACTCTTTTAGGATTTTTTCGCCCAACAGTATATCTCAGGTGTTTAGAGAGTGGCAGTTGAGGGAAAAAACTTCAAACGATAAGGACAATTCTGGTCAAAAAAGGCTGGTGAACAAGATAGGAAAGGTGATTAGCATGCATAGTCAGCAGCAACAGAAGGGCAACAACACAACAAATTACAGCTGAATTCAATGCAGGAGCATCGCAAAGCATATCCCACCATACAAGATGGACTTTGCAAAGGAGGGCTTTAGCAGCAGGAGACCATCAAGAGTGACAGAAAAATAGGAAAAAGGTACCTGTTGTGGACCCAGGAATGACGAACTTAGTCACTTGAGGACTGGAAAAAAGTAGCCTGGTCCAATGAATCTCGTTTTCTGCTCCATCATGCAGGTGGCAGGATCAGAATATGGTGCAAACAGCATGAATTCATGGATCTCTCCTGCCAAAAGACAACTCTTCAGGCTAGTGGTGGTGGAATTATAACGTGGGGAATGTTTTCCTGGAGTACACTGGATCCCTTGATATTTGTGGACACATCTCTGAATAGCACAGCTTACCTCAACATCATTGTCAATCACATACACTCATTTATGGCTGTAATATTCCCTGATGGAGATGGTCACTTTCAGCAAAACAATGCATTTTGCCACCATGCTCAATCAGTCTCAAATTGGTTTGAGGAACATCAATCAGAGTTTAACCTGCTTTCATGGCCAACTCAGTCCCAACCTCAATCCTATGGAGCATTTGTGGGACAAAGTCAAAAGATCACTTCCAAGCTTGGAAACACCACCATCCAATCTGACCTAACTTAGAGCAGCCGTTATGTCAGCATAGGCCAACATTCTTCAGCAATGGTATCAGCAACTTGTTGAATCCATGCCAAGAAGAATATTGATTGTGATCAGAGCTAAAGGTGGACCAACTTATTATTAGAGGGTGTCTCTAATTTTTTGGCCACTCAGTGTATATTAATTAATTTTTATATAAAGAAAATTCATTTATTATCTTTTGTTCTATTATTTATTTATATCTATCGTGTTTAAATTAAGTTAGCACAACTTTTTAAAATGTTATACTTAAGATAACAATTTTGGTTTATCTAATTTTTTGTTAATCATTATTAACCATAAATATCTTGCAGAATCATTAAATAATCATAAAAACTGAACTAAAAAACAGAAAATATGTTAAGTAACACATACAAATACTTGTTTAGAGTCAAATTGAATGAATAAAGTTCAAATGAAATCAAACAATCCTTTTTTTTCTTTTTACATACATACATACATACATACATAGTACAATCCAAAAGTTCAGGGACTTGGCTTATAATTCCTTACATTAATAAGTTTATATTGCTGATGCATAACCACCTTTAAAGTAATCACCTTGGGCACTGATACACTTTTGCCAGCTCTCGTATAACTTCTGGAAGCACTGCTGTAAGCCATTTTTTGAAACCTCCCATAAGGCTTCCTGCGATGCTGCTCTCACCTCATCTGATGACACAAAACAGCATCCCTGAAAATGCTTTTTCATTGATGGAAACAAATAAAAATCACATGGGGCTAAGTCTGGTGAATATGCAGGATGTGGAAGCACATTAATATGAGTTTTGGCGAGAAATTGTGTGACCATTTGGGACCAATGTGCAGGTGCGTTGTCATGCAGAAGGTACCAGTCTCCACTTTGCCAGATCTGTGGCCATTTACGATGAAGGAATTCCCTCAAACAACAAAAAATGTCTAGATAATGTTCCTTGTTTACTGTTCTGCCTTTGGGAATAAATTCTGAATGAACAATTGCTTGAGAATCAAAAAACACCTCCATCATGACTTTTCCTTTGCTCAGTGCATGTTAAGATCTTCCATTAAAATATGCTGGCAACTAGTCTTTGATAAGTGAGTAGCTGCAGCGAGTTTTTCAAGGGTTTGGCAACAATTTTTGTGAACACATTGAGAGACCAACTCAACATTTTCCTCGTTCCGTGAAGTCAAAGGTCGGCCAGAGCGTTCATTGTCTGCGATGGATTCTCAGCCCTCTTTAAAACACTTGATTTGGGCTAAGCTAGACTGAGGTCTACCAAGCGAACACAAAATAATTAGTCGGCTTACAAAAAATTTCTTTATTTAACACAGGCCTTGCGGTTAACAACTGAGGGCTCTTGTGAACTCTCAACAAAGGCTCATGGCACGACCACGTGTCCCGAGTACAATAATTCTAATTCCTTTACCCTCCTTTCTCCTTCGTGTAGCATAACACAGTTCAGATTGTTACATTAACACGTGAATAAATGGTTTGGCTCACAGCCTACTCACTAGAGATCCGGCCCCGAATCGATCGGTAATTTTGGGCCAACGTCTGTTCCTAGAGCGGAAATCTTCCCAGGTCCCAAGTGTTATAGCTTCTTCAAATGTACAGTCCACTTTGTTCCTTCTACGTGAAGAACGGATGAATTCAATCCTGTCCCCTCTTCTCTTGATGTTCGCTTCCTATCTCCTGCACTAGAGTTCCGTTTTCTTTTTTCGATGGTGTTATCTCAGCCCTTTCGCCGAAGTAAAAAGAAAGATCCCTTCTCACATGCGTACCTGCTATATATATACCCCTGGTTCGCCGATCCCCTTGACCTCTTCGGTAGCCAATCAAAAGGCTGGTTTCGAACAAAGGAGGGAGGTAGAGAGTAACAGATACACGTGGTCTGAGCAGACGACACACACAAAGAAAAAAAAACGACACAATTGAAGGAATATAAACTTAAGCCTAGTACAATTGATAACATTATACAAATAATATTTATGATACAATACTACGAACAATCTATAAGTTGCAGAGCACTACACACTGATGCCATTTGTACACCTTTTATTTCGCCATGGTAAAATCACCGTACACCTTTCTTAGCAATTTTAAAGTCTCCATAGGTGTTTTACCTAAACACTGACAAAATTTAATGTTGCAGCGCTGTTCTTGAAACTCCATTTTTATTACGTCGCAAAACGAAGGTCCGAAAGAATCTCCGAAAGAAAACAACAGCACTCACGGTTTAATCACGTGACATGGGCAAAACCAACCTGAAAACATAGGAAAGGTTTGATAGAAACAATTTCATATGCTGTAACTTCAAACACATGCTTTTGTTGTTATACATTACTGCAGTCCCGAACTTTTGGATCGTACCACGTATTTTTTTCAATATGAAAACAACACAGACACTGATTATTTTAAAATTAAATGTAACTATATTTTAGATCCTTAATTATGTTTCTTTTTTTATCTATAGTTTTTCTTTATTTCCTATAATTTTGTTAGTTTATATTATTATAGGATTAAAAAAATGACCAAATTTTATTTATAAAAATATCAAATAAAACGATGTTACTAGGACAGAAAGATTATATACAAACAAAATTTTTGGCTGGCAACAATAAAATTATTGCAAGCATAGTCATGGTTTTAACTATTTTTTATAAATAAATTTTAGTTACACTTTAATCCTATTTCATACATGTTAGAAAATATAAATAGATGTAGAATGAAGATGGAAGGAAAGACATATTCATTATAGAGACAAAATCAAATGATAGTTAAAAAGAAAGAGTTAATTTAATGATAAAATAAATTTCAAGTTTATTTATTTATATCTATCGTGTTTAAATTAAGTTAGCACAACTTTTTAAAATGTTATACTTAAGATAACAATTTTGGTTTATCTAATTTTTTGTTAATCATTATTAACCATAAATATCTTGCAGAATCATTAAATAATCATAAAAACTGAACTAAAAAACAGAAAATATGTTAAGTAACACATACAAATACTTGTTTAGAGTCAAATTGAATGAATAAAGTTCAAATGAAATCAAACAATCCTTTTTTTTCTTTTTACATACATACATACATACATACATACATNGAACAAATAAATAATTCTGTAAACATACTGTTTCCTTCAGGAGGTTGGGAGACAATATTCAGATGTTCATGTCCATTATAACATAATGACAGCATACGTAAAAGATTTCTTGTCAAATATTTTGCAGTTAAAACTGGGCCAAGTCTATGAGCAAGCCAAATAACACTTTCAGCTGCTACATCTGAAATATTAATTTCAGACTCTGACTTATTCTTTGATTTATTTGAATTAAATGCTTTTTGAGAAACATTTCCACATTCATCTTCAATTGGATTTAATTTTGATTTCTTTTTAATTTCTGTAAGTGACCATTGAGTTACTTGGGATGGAAGATTAGGTACAGAAGAGGAAAACATTGGTGATGGTGAAGTATTAAGATTTGAATTAAGTCCTGGTATATCAATTCCATGTTCTTCCTCAGGTTCATCTGGTAGATCAATTTCTAATTCAGGTTCATCAAAATGTTCATCAGCAGCTCTTTGCTGTTCTGTAGAATCTTCAGTCCATTTTTCATGATCTAATGTTGTTTCTAAAAATGATAAACTTCTATCAACTTTTTCAGATTCTTCTTTGTCTTGTTCCTTAAATGTAAAAAATAAGTAAATAAATAAATATTTTAAAATAATATTCTTGATAATTTAAATGAAAAACTGTATAAAATAAAAATATTATATACATTGTAATACTGTTTAAAACATTTATAAACAAGAACAACAATAAAAAATGTCATTCGTTCTCATAATTTAATTTATACCTTCTATTAGGATATATTTATTTATTAACTTCCTTGTTACCCTTATTATATTAAATGCTTTTATTACAGATAAATTTAAAAATTTATTTAAGCATAATTTTGGTTTAAAATGAAAATTTAAAAATTTTTGAATTTATAATGTTCAAAATTTTAAATAAATTGAACAGAAAAATAAATTTTGAATGATTTTAAAATACTTCATAGAAAATAAATATAATGGGCTATGGTATACTATTAGACTAAACAGACAGTACTGTTTGGTCTAATATGTATATTCTCATGATATATAACCTTCATGTAATAAATGTATTAAAAAAAATAAAATAAAAGACAATGTAGAATGAAAGATATAAAAAAAGGATATAGGAACAATAAAAATAGGATAATGATTTAATAAAAACGATATTAACTAAACAGAAAAGTTTTTGCAGAAATAATCATATTTTGTATTCACAAATACAAACTGCAATGATTAATGCAGAAATTCTGTTTACAATTTTTCAGAATAATTTAAAAATTATTTAAGTGATTCTAAAAAATTGAATATATGATTTTGTCAAATAGAATATGTTATTAAAAAACATTCTTTAAAGCATAAATATTTTAACAGTTTTCAAATAAATAATTTTTTATATTTCATTTTATTAATTTAAATAAATAATCTTTTCTAACCTTATTTTCTTCGTTCCTTATTAATTCACTGTCATCATCATCATCTCCAGCAGTTTCTAATATAAAGATTTCTGGTTCTCCATCAGTTCCATTACCACTATTCTTTCCACTACGATTACTTAAAAGATCTGTTTGTGAAGAATCATCATCATAAGGAGAAGAAACAGTTTCAGGAAGACATGAACTATCATCAATTTCAACATCATGTACCAATTGTTCTAATTCTGGAGAGTGTAAATGAGAACCTTTTCTTATAGTGGAATCGGACGTATCTGTATGTGCAGCACTAAAAATAATTGTATTGAACAAAATAATTATTAAATATACTAAAAATGTAAAATAATTAAATTTAATAAGCAAATAAAATTGAATGACAGTAACACTGAAGTGTAAAGATTCTGTAGCATATCATAAAATTATCTATTAAATATTAACAATATAATTAAAATTTCAAATTTTACATGTATGTACTATATTCAACATAAAGTTCCATCTTTCATTTTTTAAATTGATATAGAAATATATGATTAAAATACTTTTGCTAGTTCTTTCAAAGAAATTTTATACAAATATGCATAATAAAAAATTCATGGAATATCCTCATAAATAATTTAATTGGTTAAACATACTATGTTGGAGTTAAAACAATGGGCAACCACAACTTTTTGTTGGGTAAATACTTAAGTGCTATAAAAAAACCTTAAAAATTCCAAAACATAGGAAATGTCCTATTAACATAATTCGATTACTTATTAATATTTAATGAGTAATCAAATTGTTAAAAAAAATATAGACATAGCAAAATAATCAATAAATAAAAAAGTGATGGATTTGAACCACCAATGTTTAGTTCTCTAGTTTGGGGAACTATCCAATTTGTAGATAAGAGACTAATCTGATTCTTTCTTTTTCACTTTCCAGAAGGGACATTTACATGTGTGGATTATACAGAATTCTGGAAACTTTTACAGAAAGAGTAGGTGATTTTGGAATTTGTAGAAATTTGGTTAGTGTAAATATTAATTTACATGATGGTTTAGTTATTTCCTTTCCCTTTATGGTTCTGAAAGAACATATAAAGTTGATTTAAGTGTTTTTAATAGATGTTTGATCTGGTTGGATAAAACACAGGACTTGGATATTTCAGAGCAGGAACTGAGATATGCTTTAAGTAAGTTGAGAGTTGGTAGTCCCCAGGAATGGATGGTATACCCACAGATTTTTGGAAAATTGAAACTGCTTTTTCTTTTTTATTATAAAATTTTAATAAGATGTTGAGAACTGGTGCTATCCCAGTAGAATGGAAGAGTTTGTTGTTGGTTCCAGTTTATAAAGGTGGTTCAAAGTTGGTTCCTACAAATTACAGAGGTATTTCATTGTTGTGTTGTGTTTCAAAAATTTTTGTATTATAGATTAATAAGCTGGTTGAATGTGAGAGATACTGCCAGAGAATCAGGCTGATTTTCATGCAGGTTATTCAACCATTGATAATATCTTCATATTACATACAATTATTTCTGACATTAAGGAGGAAATGGCATAAAGTATATGCATTTTTTGTAGATTTAGCAACAGCATTTGATACAAGGAATTTATTATGGAGGAAATTATTAAATTACAGATTGTTTTAAATTTGTGTTATATTGTGGTTTAAACGTTAGTATTAAACAGAGAAATTGCTGTTTCCAGCCTTTCTTTCCAGATAAGGATGTTAGACAGGAATGCATTTTGAGCCCATTCTTTTTAGATTATTTTTAAATGATTTATTGAATTGTATTAATGATTCTGAGATGGAAAGCATTGATGTAGACAGTGTCAATGTAAGGATATTAGTGTATGCAGACAATGTGGTAATTGTGGCTAATTCTGTGAGGTCATTGTAGGCATCAACTAACCTTTTGGATAAATATTTAACCATTCAAGAGTGAGGGATGGATATATCCGTTAAATTCTTTTGGGGTATCGCCAAAAAAAATTCACATAAAAAATGAATTATGTAACAATTATAAAAAAAATTTTTCTTTCCTAGACATAGCTGTTTACAAAATCTTTTTCCAAAACAGTAATGAGAAAAAAACGCATGGAAAAATACTTTAAAAATTTCCCACGTTTATTCTCCACTACTTTGTGGTAGCACCATACCTGACTATCCCCCTGTTGAAAGGTTAATGTGTAACAATCTGCAATTAAATCTTACAAAATCTAAAATTGTTGTTTTTTGAAATAACGGTAAGGGCTCAAAGTTTGATAAATGGTGGTTTAGGGATGATCCAATTTTGGTTGTTTCAGAATATATTTGGATGTGACCTTTAAACATAATAGTAATTTTAATACTCATGTGAGGGCTTGTAGAGTTAACGCTGAGATAAAGTTAGAAAAAGTTATACAAATGTGTAAGTCTGCAAAATTGCATAATTTGAGGATCAGTTAAAATTATTTAATGCAGTTGTAGGTTCTTCTCTTCTCTATGCCTCCAAAGTTTGGGGTTTCAAATAGAGATTTTGGATGTAGATTTGCTTAGGGGTTGTATGGATCCCACGATTAACTCCTCGATATTTAGTATATATGGTGTTTATTAGTTCCACTGTCTTGCACGATCTTGAGCAAATGTATTAACTGGTTTTTAGAACATTGAGCTTGGGAGAAGAGTGCCTTAGCAAGATTTGTTTGTGGTTCATTTGGAAATGAGTAAAGCTGCCCTGGACTAATCTAACTGGACTAAGTATCTGTCTACAAACTATAGAAGTAATGAAATTGATTTTGAGAATTTATTTAAAAATGTAAATGGAATTTATTTAATAAAGTTAAATCATTTTGATAATTTTATCTCAAATCTGAATAATGGCATATTATCAAGTACCTATTTCCGATGGTATAAACATTTGAATAAATCTTTTTTTGGCTGCTTTGTTTTATAACAATAATCTTTCTTGTAATGCCATGACAATATTAATGCAAGTTAAGTGTAATTCATTGCGTTTTTATGTAATTACAGAAAGGACATTTGTGTGTGTGGTATGGTTGATTCATCATTAGATGCATATCACGTAATAACAGTTCATGCTTTTTACTCAAAATTATATTAGGAGATTTTTGGTGTTACTTCCTTTTCATTTAATAGTTTTGTGAAAGTAATCTGTGATTCTGATTCTTTTTTCAAGGTATTTACTTTTATTAAAAAGGTTAAATTGTTTATTTTATGATGTTTGCTTTGTTGTAATGTGGTTTATTTTTCTTATACATTCATAGTGTAAAAGTTGTTGATGGTTTTATGTTAATTGCATTCTGGGACATGGTTTGTAGCTTATTTAACCAGCAGTTAGTTTTGGTTATTTGGGAGACTATCTACTTTGTGGACAAGAGACTAATCTGATTCATTCTTTTTGCTTTCTAGATAAGTTACAGTGTAGTTTTTTTCATTGTAATTTTTTTTCTCTCTTTGGATAGTTCTCCTACATTTAGTTTAAGTTTGAATTCACCTTTGTATTTTATTTATAAGTTATATGTATTTTTATGTTTTGTGTTAATGGATATGTATGATTTTGTATAATTTTGTATTATTTCTCCCCGTTTCATGGTTGTACCAGTATGCTTAAATAAATAAATAAATAGTTTTCTAGTTTTAAATAATAAACTTAATAAATATAAAAACTAAAACTAAATATATAAAATAAACAAAAATTTTTACCTTGGACTATGATTTGATGAAAAATCTCTAAATCCACCAGTTGCTTCTATAATTAAAGTCATGAAATGTGCAAGAAATGTAAGGAGTCCAAGCCTAACCATCAATTGTAGTAAATAAGAACGATGATACAATTTTAAGTGTTTTGGTGAAGGCACTTCAGGATCAAATAAATGAATAATTGTAACTAATAGTTTTCGAACAGTTTGTTGTGGGCCCAGTGCTTGTGCTACTATATTAAACAAATGCCACGCTGCAAGTAAAGCTGTATCAGGACATTCAAAAAGGTCTTGAAGATATGGAGTTAATAAATCAAGTCCTTCTGCATTTAGTTTATTTAATAAAGAAGGTAAAGTATTCATTGCAAGATTAATTTTTGCCATTACTAAATTATTAATTTTATCATGTTTATTTTCTAAAATAAAATTATTTTTTATGTCTTCTAGACAAACAGAATAATGGTTCATTTGTTGAATAAAGCTATAAAGTTCTGGAAAATATGAAGGAAATGGGAGAATATGAATTAGTGGTTGAAGTAATTGATGAGCAGATGGAGGAGGTAATCCTCTAAAAGTTACAGGTGGATATTGAGAAGGAAGCAAAACTTTTCCATTTGCTTCTTTATTTGAAAAATCAATTTGTAGTAGTAATTTCAAAGCTTCTTGAAAGCATCTATAAAAAAAATAATTAAGAAATGTTTTACCACCAACATTAAAATTAAATATTTTTGTTACTAAAACAAAATATTTGCTATTATCAGATAATTCAATAATTTAGAAAATTATTTTAAGTACTGAATGTTTGAGAATCAACTTACATAGAATCAAACTCATACATGTCTAAACAAATTAATACAACAAGGAAAACATAAAAAAAAATATAATTTTTCAAATTTCAACCTTGTCTAGAATCAGTTTTCTTTGCTTACTTTTTAATTAGTACTTTAACTTTCACAATAAAAAGTATATTAAAATTTTAACTATAAAGAGAATTTTTCATGACTAATTTTCTTATTTTAAAAATGTAAAAAATTGTATAAAAGAAATGTACTTTATTCATTTTTTATATTACAAAAAAGAACAACTAAAATGATAATAATGCCAATACTACATTATTGAAATTATTTTTGTATAAAATGTTTAAGCTCTAGGAAAATTAGAAATTCTCAAAATTATAATTTTTAAATTTATGTAAAATTTACATAAAGTTGCAATTTGAGTTTAAAACATCATCCTATTTTTTGAAATGATGAAATAATACATTTACATTTGTGAGATCCGACCTCAGAGTAAGCCCAAAAATGTTAATTTTTCCCCCTAAATTTTCAACGTATGTGAAATAAATTTGTCGCCGCCTCGTTAAAATAACATTGTCAGAAAAAAAAATCAAATATCAATATTAACTTATAACTTTCCTCGTTAATATAAACATTCAACCCTCGAACAATGACATTCCTCTGTTGCAAGACAAAAAGTTTATAGTTAAAGTCCAAATTCGTCATTTTGTTTTGGTCCCGAGAACAACTTTAACCTCCATACCTGCAGGACCAACTCTACCTCTCACAATGGGGGATCACATGACTACTCTCCCCAGCCCAAAGCTATAAAAGCGACTTCTTCCCCCTCCTTGGGGGAGTCTCTCATCTACGGCTGGGCAGAAAGGATTAAGTCGTGGAGAATTTTAACTTTGTGCATCAATTGGAAGAATAAGGGCATAAACCTAACGTCTACGTTGAATTATACTAGAGGTATGGAGCAAAAAAATGTAAACTCTCTCTCCGCGAGTTAGGAGCTAGCGAACTAAATTCATTTCTCAATATGTTAGATTTTGTAATTGTTAATTTTTTCATTAATCTAATAAACTGTTGTTTCCATTGTTAAATGGTGTCATTTACTCGCATATCGCCTACGTCTCATCGACAGCCCCTTTCACCTCCTCCACTCGACCTGACAAAAAGAATCCTGACCCCCTGGGACTGCATTCGAACTTTAGCCATCTTGACAAGTGAGCAGGTTTAACGACCTGTAGCCGAAAAGGGAGAGTTGATGGTTCCCAACCTCCCTGGCGGCTCACACATTTATTGCTTTATTATTATTCCAAAATTAATTCATTATACTTGAATTTGATATATACTGTCTTCTTTTTATTACACACCTTAAAATGTTTAACAAATTTATATGAGAATATTAATGCAAGATACTGAGGAAAATTATTATTATTATATTAAATTTCAGTTTAAATCTTTAAATATTAAATCAGTAGTTTAAATATAGAAATTGATTTAAACTATACCTGGGAACTTCATGAAAATCAGTTTTTAGCAGTTTAATTATAATATTATAACGTTCTTCTAATGTCATATTTCTTGGTATAACTCTAAGTTTTGGAGCTAATGCAATTTCCACAATAAGACAACCAAACACCATCATATCACGGCTCTTGAAATGATGATAAATATGATTTAAATTTTTCTCTTGTTTCAACTAAAATAATTTAATTATTAAGTTATTGATTAATGGGAGCATTNTAACAAATATATAAAATTAGAAATTTATTTATAAGCCAAGTATATTACTAAAAATAATTTTAAAATACAAATAACCTGAGTATCAAATGGTGATACTGAAGATGATGTTTGAGCAGTGAAAGAAATAAGTGACTCTAATTGATTTAATGAAGCTAATGGATTGTAATCTTTAGATAACACTATTGTTTGTGATTCAGGACGGAAATCAGGACAAGCAGGTTCAATAAATGTTTTATATCTGAAATATTTAATTGTTATTGTGGATTAATAAAACTGATAAATAATGTTTATTGTTAATAATTTTTCTATTATTATTAATTAAAATATACTTGAAATATTTTCGTTTAAATATTTTTCCTTCTGAATTTTCTTCATCTCCACTATCTTTTAATTCTATATTCTGTTAATAATATATAATAGTTTAATGTAATTATATATTCAAAATTTCAATAATATTTTATTTAATAGAAATGTTTACTTACCAAACCATTATCCTGATTATGGACATCACCTATTTTTTTCTTCATGGCAAATGAATGAAGCTGACAAAGTATTTAATACAAACTATATAAATACATATCATTTAAATTCAATTAAATAATAAATTAAATAATATTCAATGATTTATTCTAATAGATATTAGACAAAAATATAATTATTATTATTATTATGCATTATTAATATAAACAATATAATTTTTTAAAAGTTAAAAACAACAACTAATTATTTATTAAACCAATTACAATTTATAATTTAATTCTAATAGAGTAATTATTATTTGTTGTAAGTTTAACAAAATTTTTAAAATAAATCTCAATAAATAATAATACAAAACTATTCTACACTTTCATTAATTTACTAATTTCAAACTCAACTAAGATGAATTTTAAACATGAAACATAATAGAAAAACTAAATAGTAAATGAAAATACTGCTTTTAAATATATTAAATAAAAATTTTCTATCTAAAATATTTAGCCATATTTTTTTTTGTTTTCCTCATTTGCTTCTTGTTTAAAATTCATTTTATAATATGTATAAAAAAGTAAGGGAAAAAAATGTAACAACTTTAAAATGCAAAAAATTAAGACTACAAATAAATTTGTAAAATTGAAATGCTGTATTCACTTTCTATCTTCTATACTTCTTATTGTGACAACCATAAAAAGGATCAAAATAAAATTGATATTATAATATAATATTTGCAATCCGAACATCAAACCTTTTGATATAAGATATAAAGTTTATGATATGCACAAAAACTATTGTTATTTGGTACATTCTAGTATATATCAAACAGTGCATTGGTGAATCATGATGTACTAAAATATGTTCTGATATTCACCAATGAGTTCATTAGTGAGGTGACTGATACATATTGTATTCATTGGGCTGTGTATATGGTGAGTTCTGATGAAGCAATATGACCACCTCCATGGCTATATAATTATCACCAACAAAATGATTCACTAAATAATTTGGCTATAATTCCACTAATTTAAATAATCATGATTAACCGCATAAGGTTATATCAAAATTTAAATACATCTGGAAGCAATGGCTTGCTCAGGATCCAAATGGCACAACTGGTGTGCACACTGCATAGCAAGCAGTTGCTGCGAGTTCAAGCCCCATCCCAGGTCAGTTCTTTTCTTCCAGATGGTTCTAAATTATTTAATAAATTATTAAAATTATAATTATTAATTTAGTTAAGAGATGGTGCCTAACATCTACCTTTAGTAGCAAATTACTTTGTATTTTATTAATTATTTAAATTAGTGGAATTATAGCCCAATTATTTAGGCAATTGTTCGATGATGTTTCTATATACTTATCAGGCTTTGTATTGAGTGTTATACTTATATATAATTAACACCAATTTTATTACTCATCTGTATTAACCCAAGTTATGTTGACAAATTAAGTTTGCAAATGCCAATATAGCACTGTTTCCTTTTGCCATCTTGTTAGGTTGCCAGACATTCCTGTAAAAGCTTATTACTGTTAAGCTGTTCATCGATTGTGGCTGAGACTGATGTATACTTGGATGTACCCATTACTTTTAAGAATGTCATCATAGTTTTATATTTTAATATTCATTAACTAATATTAATAAGTTTAATCTAA